GCCATGTTGTGTTCCTGCGCTATAAAATCAGTATTTTACTCATTTTACTGCATCTGTTACTTTCTACAGATCCACACAGATGCAGCACCATTTTCTATGTTTATAAAATGTGCATAAATTGGCAGAAACATCCATGAAAAATATCAAATATCAGCATCGGCAAAATTCCCACATCAGTGCATCCCTAATATATGTATTATTTTTTTGTTTGTTTGTTTTTTGGAGCATTTCTATTGGTCTAATCATCATGAAATATTCACATAAAGTTAAAGACAACTGACAAAAACAGAGATACGTATGTATATATATATATATATATATATATAGACTATATATCATACATATATAGACTATATGTATATGTGTAACATCATATAAAATCACACATATACATTACATAACTGCTGTCAAGAGTCAGTACCAGGCTGCTATGAGGATAGGTCTGCTTGGGAAAGGGTCATAAACAAACACATAACTTACTGTATTAATTTTATTTGTGTTTATTGTAATATGCACTTTTCTGAGCATATAAACGCTTACTGCCCGGATAAACATTTGTTTAAATCTAACGTTCCTAGAGGCCTAAAAGCTGCATACATACATGTAGTTGTGGACAGGGCATGCGCCATCAACAGCAAACAAAATGTATCTGACAAAAAATATGTTACTTTCAATACACAACATATATCACACTATTTAACTTTCCTGAGGTCTGATGGAACAGACTAAAAGAACCAGTGGTGCCACATTTAAAAAATACTATTAAAAACAATGAAAACAATGGTTTGTATTCATCGTTCCACCTGCTGCTCTGCACTAAATCCAAAACAGGAACTCTCTCTGTGCTGAAACATGCAGTTGGTCAGCGTTCTTTAAGCACTGATGACATCCAGATATACTCGAGAAAGAGTGCTGCGGCGTAGTTTATCACAATCATGATAAATATCGTCATATGACAACAATCCAGCCTGCTCTAGTAATGTAATGTAGAGTAACACTATAATGTAGTAGAGTAATGCTGCAATGTGTGTTTATATATGACTATGTATATGTATGCAAAGATGTATGGAAAAAATGTAATATCACGATACTTTTAGAAGTTTTAACGATAAATAATACGTCACGATATGTATTTTTTCTGACATCTAAGTTAGAGCAGACAAAGTAGAGCCACATTTAAAAAAATAATTTAAAAACTAATATGAAAAAAACTTTGGATATAATGAGTTATATTCAACATTTCACACACTGTACAAACATCCAATTAAATTAATTATGTATTCTTTGTAATCAAACATGTAGTTGGGAAGTGTTCTTTAAGTTTTGATGATTACCACGATATACTCAGGGAAGCATACTGTGACAATTTTTCATGATAAGAATAATTATTATCATACTGAACATATCTATGTCACACACACACACACACACACACACACACACACACACACACACGCACGCACACACTTAATGCACATCCAAAACAAACCAATAACGCAGTCTGCTCTAGATTTCTGTTTTATAGGTGCCACAAAAGCTGCACTGTAATGTAATGTAACGTAATGCGATGTATAATTAAGAGTCCCTATTATATATGCAATAATCATAGATGCACATCTGAAAGCACATAAACAGTGTAATTATGCAACCTGTTCTAGATGTTTGACTACATGTGCCATAAAATACAGTAATGTAACGTAGAAATCGCAAACTCTTGATGCACATCCTCTAATGATAAACATATAAATAATACAGTAATTCAGCCTGGTGTTGATCTTTAGCAAGTTATCTGTGCCATAAGATGATGTAATGTATATGAAATATATATATATATATATATATATATATACATATATATATATATATATATACACACACACACATATATACACTACACACACACACACACACACACACACATACATGTATATATATATGAAAATCACTCACACACTCACATACTTAATGCACATCCAGAATAAACCAATAATGCATATGTTTGACTATATGTGCCATAAAACACAGTAATGTAATGTAGAGTAGCACTATAATGTAATGTAATGTAGAAAAGGCAAACTCTTAATGCACATCCTCTAATGATAAACACATAAATAATACAGTTATTCAGCCTGCTATTGATATTTAGCAAGTTATCGTTGCTATAAAATGATCTTATGTATATGCAATATACATAATACACACATATATACACACATATATATATATACATACATATATATATATATATATATATATATATATATATATATATATATATATATATATACACACACACTTAAAACACATCCAAAACACCCAATAATGCAGTCTCCTCTACAATACTGACATTTCCTATGTGTCACAATATGCTGTACTGTTATGCAATGTAACGTAATGCAATGTATAATTAACAGGGTCCATATTACATATATGTAAAAACCACACATATACATCCAAAAGATGCATAAACAGCGCACTTACGCAACCTGTTTTAGATGTCTGACAAATTATATGTGCCATAAAACACAGTAATGTAATGTAGAGTAACACTATAATGTAATGTAACGTAGAAATCACAAACGCTTAACGCACATCCTCTAATAATAAACACATAAACAACACAGTAATTCAGCCTGATGTTGATCTATAGCAAATTATCTGTGCCATAAAATGATGTAATGTATGTGCAATGTATGTATAACACACACACACACACACACACATACATAAACACTTAAAAAACATCCAAAACAAACCAATAATGCAGTCTGCTCTAGATTTCTGATGTTTTATATGCGCCACAATGTGCTGTACTATAATATGCAATACATAATTAACAGAGTCCATATTATATATGTGAAAATCACAAATGCAGATCCAAAAGATGCATGAACAGTGCAATTATGCCATCTGCTCTAGATGCTTGACAGTAATGTAATGTAGAGTAACACTATAATGTAATGTAGAAATCACAAACTCTTAATGCACATCCTCTAATCATAAACATATAAATAATACAGTAATTCAGCCTGGTGTTGATCTATAGCGAGTTATCTGTGCCATAAAATGATGTAACGTATACATGTAATATACATGCTACACACACACACACACACACGCGCACACATACATATATACACACTTCTTTAATGCACATCTAAAACACCCAATAATGCAGTCTGCTCTACACTTCTGACGTTTATATGTGCCACAATATGCTGTACTGTAATGCAATGTAAGATAATGCAACGTATAATTAACAGGATCCATATTATATATGTGAAAAGCACAAATGCAGATGCAAAAGATGCATAAACAGTGCAATTATGCAGTCTGCTCTAGATGTTTGACTGTTATATGTGCCATAAAACACAGTAATGTAATGTAGAGTAACACTATAATATGATGAAGTGTAGAAATGACAATACATAACACACACACACACACACACACACACACACACACACACACACACACTTAAAACACATTCAAAACACGTCTACATGTTTTTTATGTGCCACAATATGCTGTACTGTAATGCAATGCAACATAATGCAATGTATAATTAACAGGGTCCATATTATATATGTAAAAATCACACATGCAGACCCAAAAGACGCAACTGTGCTAAAATGCAACCTTTTGTAGACGACAAAAGACTTATTATTAAAAAATTAGTTTTGTAATGTAGAGTAACACTATAATGTAATGTAATGTAGAAATCACAAACTTCTAATGCACATCCTCTAATAATAAACACATAAATAATACAGTAATTCAGCCTGATATTGATTTTAGCAAGTTATCTGTGCCATAAAATGATGCAACGTATATATGCATTATACATAATACACACACACACAGACACACACACACACTTACACACTTAAAACACATCCAAAACAAACCAATAACGCAGTCTGCTCTAGATTTCTGCCGTTTTATATGTGCCACAATATGCTGTAATGTAATGCGATGCAACATAATGCAGTGTATAATGAACAGGGTCCACATTATATATGTAAAAACCACACACGCACATCCGAAGGACACACAAACAGTGCACCTGCTGCTCTAGATGCCCGATGCTCTAAGCGCTGCGCTGCAAAGCAATGCAGAGTGAATCAATGAAAACAAAAGAGCTATTTCTGTCCCCTCACTGACATTCTGGCACATAAACAAGGGCCATAATTTCACCGAGATCAGATGCCGTAAGGCCTAAATCCCCCACCTTAACCCCTGCCTGTGATGCTGTCCCTCCACAGTGAGCTGTGGTGAGTTCCACTCACACTGGCACCAACAAAAGCTGCTGAGCTTTCAGCAGAAGAGCAGAGCACTGGCTGGCTGGATGGGCCCTCCACTCTACATGCCACATTCATCCACTGATCCCATGCGTTCAGACCCAGGCCTGGTGATTCCACGACGTTTTTATTCAAAGAACAGCTCAGCCTCACATTTAAACCCCCCCAAACCCAAAAAGACACCATTTTGAGCGTCTCTCCGCGTTCCACGGAGTGGAAAAACGTATGGAGAGGGAGAGAAAGAGAAGTGCATCCTTCTGATACCTTTTATGCCCCTATCCACTGCATCCTGGTGGATCTGATGGCTTATTTGAAATAATGCAGAGGTGCCAAAAAAGGCCCGTTTCATAAATCACCTTACGCTTAAACCGTCCACCACCGTTTGGGGGTTTAAGGGCGCACACGAGAGCGCAGAGCACCGACAAACCAACGACGAGGTCTTTCTCCAGAAGTCAGCTCCTTGTTCGAATTTTCCCGTTCCACCTTAAATGGTGCAGCACTTCCATTGGGCCCGAGGCGCCAGAATGTAACTGCTGCACCATTTAAGGTGGAACGGGAAGATTCGAACAAGAAGCTAGCGAATAGGAAGCCAAGTCCAGCCTCGGCTCTCCAGAGCTGGACAGCTGGAAAAAGGGAGGGCTTAGGAACAGAAAGGAAGGTCGTGGAAGGAAAAACAGCACCGTGCACGGCCTGACTCACCAGCTGGGGCTCGATTTCTGGATTCAGAGGCGAATGTGTCCAATGTGTCCGGCTCCTTTGTGGCTCGAGTCTGAAGGCAGCCTAACTGCTGCTGCTGCTGCTGCGGCGGCTTCGACAGGCTCCAGTGATCTCGGGGGCTTTTTCTCTTTTTTTTGCAGGCGGGATGGAAACAGAGAGAGAGAGAAGTGGGGGATGGTGCAGATACCAAGGGGTGGGAGGGTGCAACGAGAGAGAGAGAGAGTGAGAGAGAAGTGGGGGGGCAGCACGCAAACACACAGTGGGAGGAAATGTCACTGCAACAAAGTATCTCCGAGCGGAGATCCAATCAAAGCCGAGCGGGGGAGGGACGCGGTAGGCGTAAAAACTACAACTCCCAGAGGCACTTTCGCGCACGGGCTGCATCCAAAACAACATACTGCACTGTTTATGATTCCTTATTAAAATAATATATTATATATATTGTATTTTACTTTGCTGTTTAGGTGTGGATGTGTGTACTGTCCTCTCATTTGAATAGGCTCGATAAAATCTGTATGTTTAATTCCTCTAAGATGTAATTAGAGCTGTATGTTTACATGATTGTTTAAATAAAATTTAAAATACAAAAGGAGATTAATAGACACGCTAATTTATAGCCCATAGTTTCAAATACACATTGCTTTTACAAAAGGCGGCACGCTAAAATAGTCTTAAATCACACCACACACTTCATAATGACTTTTATTGGACTCGAACATGCACCGGACTACAAATCCCAGCAGCGCTAGCGCGCCGCGCCACCGCTGTTGTTTTTGTTGTGGACGCCACGCGGTGACGTCGACTGGCCGTGTTGAAGAGGAACCTGGACACTTCCTGTTTCTCCCGTTATATCAGAAATATGCCTGCTGAACGTCAGAGGGCGCACGCGAGCGAGACCTAAATGAATAGGGGTGTATTGAGCCACTTATCTAGGACATTCCTTTAATTTTGGAAAGTAGAAGAGTGTATTTCACTAATAAATCTAAATAAATAAATAAATAAATAAATAATACAATAAATAAATAATTTTTAAATTACATGTATTTTTCTCTTTTTCTATAGAAAACAGGCTTTGGGCAGTAGGATGCTAGCAGTACTGCTACTGAGTGCTGATTGGTCAGCATTACTGCTACTGAGTGCTGATTGGTTAGTATTACTGCTACTGAGTACTGATTGGTTAGCATTACTGCTACTGAGTGCTGATTGGTTAGCATTACTGCTACTGAGTGCAGATTAGTTAGCATTACTGCTACTGAGTGCTGATTAGTTAGTATTACTACTACTGAGTGCTGATTGGTTAACATTACTGATACTGAGAGCTGAGTTGCAATTACTGATACTGAGTGCTGATTGGTTAGCATTACTGCTACTGAGTGCTGATTGGTTAGCATTACTGATACTGAGTACTGATTAGGTAGCGTCACTGCTACTGAGTGCTGATTGGTTAGCATTACTGATACTGAGAGCTGAGTTGCAATTACTGCTACTGAGTCCTGATTGGTTAGCATTACTGCTACTGAGTGCTGATTGGTCAGCATTGCTGCTACTGAGTGCTGATTGGTTAGTATTACTGCTACTGAGTACTGATTGGTTAGCATTACTGCTACTGAGTGCTGATTAGTTAGTATTACCGCTACTGAGTGCTGATTGGTTAGCATTACTGCTACTGAGTGCTGATTGGTTAGCATTACTGATACTGAGAGCTGAGTTGCAATTACTGCTACTGAATACTGATTGGTTAGCATTACTGCTACTGAGTGCTGATTGGTTAGCATTACTGATACTGAGTACTGATTAGTTAGCGTCACTGCTACTGAGTGCTGATTAGTTAGTATTACTGCTACTGAGTGCTGATTGGTTAGCATTACTGCTAATGAGTGCTGATTGGTTAGCATTACCGCTACTGAGTGCTGATTGGTTAGCATTACTGCTACTGAGTGCTGATTGGTTAGCATTACCGCTACTGAGTGCTGATTGGTTAACATTACTGCTATTGAATGCTAATTGGTTAGTATTACTGCTACTGAGTGCTGATTGGTTAGCATTACTGATACTGAGAGCTGAGTTGCAATTACTGCTACTGAATGCTGATTGGTTAGCATTACTGATACTGAGTACTGATTAGTTAGCGTCACTGCTACTGAGTGCTGATTAGTTAGTATTACTGCTACTGAGTGCTGATTGGTTTAGCGTTACTGATACTGAGTGCTGATTGGTTAGCATTACTGCTACTGAGTGCTGATTGGTTAGCATTACTGCTACTGAGTGCTGATTGGTTAGCATTACTGCTACTGAGTGCTGATTGGTTAACACAGATAGATGGACTGAAAAATAGATAGACAGATAGATCTGTCTGTCTGTATATCTGTCTGTCTGTACATCTATTTATCCATCTAATGTAATTTATAGTCATGTTTCTAAATCACTGTGTCTGTTCGTACTAATTCAATATGAGTTGCGCTCGCTGAGCATTTGTGCAAATGTAGTGACAGATATGATCATTTCATTGACATCATCGGTCACAGTCATGGTTTATTTATTGGGTTGTGCTGCACTGGTGATAAAAAAAACTGACACTTCTGAGGTAAATAATAATGAAATTCAGTGTCATGTTGAGGTAAATTGGCTCTTTTTGGAGCAGATTTTCTCCTTACTTGAGTTGTTCATTGTCCGGTGTCCAAACAGAGCAGTGAACCATGTTTGTTTAAGGCTCTGTAGCTGTACATCTGAATGAAGCCTCCTGAGTTCTGCACTGTCCCTTTACCAGTCTGTGATGATCTGTTTTCTTTTCTACATCACAGAGAACAGTTCAGCCTGAGGCAGCAGGTAGAGCCTCAGTGAGGCGGAAGCACTGCACCGCCATCTAGTGGCCAACACCGGCACATACACTGCAGACTTCACTGCAGGAGAATTTCATCAATTTTTCTGAATTTCTTTATAAAAAAATGGTTGAGATGTAAACAGAGTCATTCAGAGTGGTTTGGTGTGAAACGTCCACCTCTAAAAGCTCCCTCACAGAAAGTTACTACATGAAATGGATATGAATTCACTGCCTGATGTCTGTTTTACGATAGTATTGCGGTAAAGTTTTGGCCTAAAATGTATATTTTTAAAATCTATATTTAAATTTTCTGCATTTAAAAATTCATGCAGGGTCTTGTGAGGCAAAATAGTCTCCCAAAAAACTTTTCAGACTAATCACTGTTTTCCCATCATCAACATTCCATATAAACTCAGAAGACTCGTGTAGGTTCACTGGTGATTTTGGATAGTAAATAAAATGGCTACATGTGTGTTGTAGTCATGGCGACCCCTGGTTCCCATCACCACCACCGTAAAGAGTCTCTACAAGAGTCTCTACAATCAACCATTTCACACCAAACCACTCTGAATGACTCTGTTTACATCTCAAACACTGAATTATGGAGACGTTTTGAAAAATGGTGGAATTCTCCTTAATGCTTGTTCATAGTAGTTATTGAATAATACTGAATAATATTGATTCATAAATCTTGAGTTAAAGAGGTTAAGGGTCTTTATGAATCCACACTGCAAAAAAGACATTCGGAAAAACCAAAACAAAAAAAAATCATGAAAATGAGATCATCATCATAAATACGAAAATATATAAATATACATTTGTTTGCAATAGTTTGGGTCGGTCAAAATCCATCTTTTGTTGATTTTCTAAGTGTAAATAAGGTAACACATCCTCTACAGAGAACCTCTGTACATTTTAATACACAATTACTGTACATTTTTAGAATTTGACATATTGTGGGAATAAAAAAACAATAAAACATAAAATGTGGCCTGTGCAAAGGTTATATGTTTAACTCCAAATAAATAGAAAGTGTTCACTAAAATGTGCAGAAAAAATATCATATTTGAGTGTGTCTCTGTAGAAGATGTGTTCACTTATTTTCACTTAGAAAATCAACAAAACATGACTTTTGCATATGACTGGTTTTTAACATTTTGCTTTTTTAAACTTTTTTGCGTACATTTTAAACATGATATAAGCATCAAAGACTCTGAAAATCAGATACAGGGACTCAGTATAAGTCTCTTTCTCTCACTAAATCTGATGTAATGTGATGATCTAGATATTATTAAGTTAATATTGATTATCATTTTGGAAGATTTTTGCTTCTCATAAGCATTTACATTTAATTTTCAACATATTTTTTCTCAATTTTGTAAATTTTTTGAAGTGTTCAAATAACATCAAATACTGTTTAAAATCCTTAAGGATAGAAAACAAAATAAGTGATCAATCCCTGATTTAAAGGGCCCAAATCACAGAAAACCATAATAAAATACCATAGTAAAAATGTGATAATCACTCCAGCTGGTTTCCTGATATGTTTAATCTGCAATGGGAAACTGTCAAACACTAAGAAGTCATGAAGCTGAAGTCAGTTTCTCATTCGCCAGCTTCTTGATCGAATTTAAGATGAACTAAGGTGGAACGGGAAAATTAGAACAAGAAGCTGGAGAATGAGCAGCGACTTCAGCCTCGTAAAAAGTCAAACATTGAGAGACATTTTACAAGAAACTGTTTCTACTTTTGGAAAAGTTTCCTGCTGGAGATGTGAGAAATGCATCTATAGCTGAGCTAAAGCTTAAAGCAGAGCAAAGTGAGTCTGCGTTTTTGTTTATATTATATTTCTATCCTATACTAGTTCATTAGCATTTACTGAGAAATATTTACAGCCAAGATGGTAAAATGGATCTTAAATGTCTTAAATGACTCTTAAGGTGGTTTGATTTTTGTTGAAAGGACAAAATGGCTCTTCTTAACATTTGGGTTGCTCACTCCTCAGTTCATACAGTCTACATACATGGAAAGTGCAAAAAAACAGTCCCTTTTTGAATTAATTGAATTTTCTGTGATGTCACAGAAGACGACTCATTTACATATATCCACACTGCAAAAAAGACATTCAGCCTGCTGCAGTGTAGCCCCGCCCACTCATGTTGAAGTTACAAGGAGTGTCTCAGCTCTGAGAGCTTTTTAAATGTTTTTAACAGCCCATTTTGCTCATTTTTACCTGGGGTGCCGATATTTGTGAAGGGCACTGTACACAGACAGACAGACAGACAGACAGATAGATTTTTTATTGATTAGCATTCCTGCTACAGAGTGCTGAATGGTTGGCAAGCTGAGCAGCTCATTTGCTGAATGAAGTCACAGATATCTGCCTATTCGAGCCTACATCAGTTTAGATATATGACTGTTTTTG